AATCACAGTGGTAGCAATTTTATTAGTATTTCATGATTGTATTAAAAATATTCTTTCAGAAATATGCTGTTACAGTTACCCATATTTTATTATTGACAATCTCACAAACAGTCAAAATCACAGTGGTTGTAATTTTATTTAGGTTTAATTTTTGTAAATGGTGTAAAATGTTCACTAAAGTTGTTTGTATGTTTATTTGTATATATGTATGTTATAGATGTAAATATGTGCTCACTCTCTTTCTCTTTATATTTTTACTAGCTTTCAGTACAACTGAACAACCCCAAGTGTATCAAAAATATAGTTAAAAAATCACAAGTGACAAAGTATTTCGTGATTGTGTTGAAACTATGCTTTTAGAAAGATGCTATTACAGTTACAAATTCACAGTGGACGTAATTTCATTTAGATTTAATTGTGTGAATGCTGGGAAATGTTCACTAAATTTGTGAGCATATATGCCTATTATGTGTATATATGTATGTATAGATGTATATATAGATGTACACCTGTGCTCAATCTCCTTCTCTTTTTATCTTTACTAGCTTGTAGTATACAACTGACTTACCTTATATTCCCAAGTGTATCAAAAAAGGTCTATAAAAATCATCACCTGTGCTCAATCTCCTTCTCTTTTTATCTTTACTAGCTTGTAGTATACAACTGACTTACTTCATATTCCCAAGTGTATCAAAAGTAGTGAATAAACATTATTAACATTATTATCATCTGCAGTAACAGGGTATCTTCTTCATACTACGACTTTCAGGAAGCGGACAGGAATTTCGTTATTTGACAAGCTAGAACCATGGTTGTGTTAAAACATTTTTCAGGATGAAAATTAAGCAAAATTTGTGGAATTTTGCGGTTTCTTGGGTTATCTTTCATCTCCACATAATTGTCGAAAGTAATGAGTGAAACATAAACTTCAGACTCTTCTATCAGATTGCTTCGAGAATTTGGTCCAATTTTATGTATCATTTTAGTGAACTCATTCAATTCGATAGAATTGGTGCACTTCTGCCAACGTATTCATTCCGTCGGCATGAAAATGTTTTGGTCGGGATTCGACTGGAGTCGACGAAGGCCGTTGTTGTGTGGTCCTGATTGGCAAAGGTTCTACCGGTGAAAAAGTTATCAAGGTGCTTGAGAGGATGGCGAGAGTTTTGGATTTTCGGACAGTGATTTGTAAAACGTGTGGACGGACGTTATCGTGGAGCAGGATCGGACTTTTTCTGTTGACCTGTGTATTGGAATACACTTGAAAATCTATTGCGGCAGTTGTATCGCCAACGGCATATGCAAGAATACCTTCAATGTGGAATCTTGCAACGACACTTGTCGGATGTAATCCAACGCCCTTCGTGGTATCAGCCAGGAGAGTAGTTGTTCTCTGATAGGTGTCAGTCCATCAACCTACAGTGTAGGGAGTTGTGAAAAATCACTCAGTATTCACAATTCCATCTCTTTAAAATTTCAAGTTCGTAGATATCAAGATTGATACGATAACAGGACTTGTGATGCACCGTTTGGAACCTTTGGTGTAGTAATGAATATTACTGGCGTTTCATCCCAATACCAAACCGTTATTTTAACACTCTGACACGTGTTTCGATCACCATGTGATCAACTCTAAAAGAAAGATTGAACAGATCTTTCTCTTGAAGATGATCACTTGGTGATCGAAACACGTGTCAAAGTGTTGAAATAACGGTTTGGTGTTGGGATAATACTCCAGTTATATATACGATAACAGAGTATAGAAATATAAAACAATCTCCAAATACGCAAACTTGCACAGATGCGCATTGAGCATTTTGCCTCAGTGCGGTGACTGAAGCAAAGTTGTAGTCTCAGGGAGGGAGGTCAAGATCACCAGTGAGTATTAAAAAAGTCATTCAGTATTCATTGATCACTCTTCAGAAAGGGTTCTAGAACATTTTAGAATGCAGCACATCTCCTTCACGTCGATCCTGCTCAGTAGCAGTATATTGTAAGTTTTTGGCGATTGTTAGTATATTTCCCTCAACTATTCAATGTCAGTTCATTCCTGCGCGTATTTTTCTCATTTTCATTATAATAATTATTTTATTATGTTTTCAAATGAGTTCTCTTCTTATTTGGATGAATGAGGGTCGGGTGAAACGGCGGAAAATCCTCTCGAAATAAGCAAAGCGATTAATGAGTTGCATAGACAGGCATTGACGTCATTCAAAAAAGATTTGATGAATGGACAACACAGAATAATGATTTGACTGTTGATATTATCATAACCAAAGGCAGCATAAACGTATAATTTGAAGTTTGTGCTACATATCCATAGTAGTAACGATGCATTTCAGTAACACAATCACATTGCTTGCGTAAAAACATTCTCGAAATTCGCCCTTCCTACGAATCACGAACTTATACCAGTAAACCGCTGAGATGCGAGATCAAATCTGTTTTCACTTCGAGCTAATGAATTGCGAAGCTAGTTTATTTTCAAACTTCCTATCGAGCACACCAAGAGAAAACCACGACAAAGCGTGTGTGGGAGAACGACTCCGACTTCATGTTCCATTGAATGTCGTGTCGGTCGTTCCATCGATCATTAATTAATTATAGCTGAAATGAGCATAATTAGAGCCATCGAAAAGGTTGAACTTTTCTGGCACGCAGGCTAACGTGAGCACGCATCGGCCTCCCATGATATCGTTTGATTTCGACTCATTAAAGATGAAAAATGTGTTAGTGTCACGTTTTGGAAAAGCACGCGCGACTTCGAATAATTGCTTTTTCAGGTCATCTTATCACTCTCTGCAGTTTGATCTAATGGATGGCTATTAGAGTCTTTTATAGCGGAATTACAGTGTTTGTTTAGGGTGGGCGATAATTGAAAAGGTTGGGGAATTTGTGGGTAATAAGATGAGTGAATCAATTTTTGACCAATGAATTTTTGTTGGTATCTCTCAATCATGAAATGAGCCTGAGAAATATTGAACAAAAGTCATTTTTTGTACAGATAATTTTTTCCACGGATATTCCTGTGCTTTTTCACCTTCCATAACCTCAGAAAGTTATAATTGAAATGGAGAATTTTATGCAAGTATAGAAGGGCACATTTTTGTAGTTCATTCATCAAAATCGACAGTCATTTAATGAAAGAAGTTAAAGTTTACTATGTGACTCTTTGGTGTTATCCAGGTTGAATTATTATGATGTTATTTACGCTCCTTTCATGAACTTCATCGATATCAAACGAATTCAAGAACTTCAAAATGGTTGCTTGAAGTTAATGAATAATAAAAAAAAACCGATAGGATTTCATACACATTGGAAACAAACAAATGGTTTAATATGAGTGATCAAAAGTTCCTATATTCTGCCTGCTCCTTTTACAAAGTATTAAAATACCAAAGCTCTTTTCCCTATTGGTACAATAAAATAATATTTCGCTTTGATCTACACAATACTAACATTTGACAAAAAAGTTTGCTCACTTCCCCAATGTTTCACACAGAAAGGGGAATGTTCCTCCTGACGAAAATCAAGTAGTTTCCATGAAAGAGCTCTAAAACAACGCATTTTGAACTTATCATTTCAATCTTTTTCTTCAAAAAATTATTTGAATACTAAAAAAAAAGAATGAAATAATGCATTCAACATTTAAAAGGGAATCGTTTCTATTTCACCATTTGGCAACATCGGTTATAGCTAATGAAGGACAATGAATCTGTTACCTGTATGAGGCGTGCTGTTCTGTTTACTCATGTTCCGAGTTCCGAAACATTCTGTGACATATGACATTTTGTGCATCTAACCTATCTTCGTCTATATAAATAAATAACAAATTAACTGTTGTTTATGTGGCTTGTGGAGGTGGTATTGAACTATAATTCATGTTTTGTCTTGATTTCAAACTATTGACATGATTCTTATTCTTCTAGCGTACTACTAACCTGAACTTCGATCTAGCATTCTAGGCGCTGTTGCCAATATGTAAATTAGAAACGAATCCTTTTAAAAATCAAAACCCAACATTTGAAACATCAATTTGAATACTTTTTGAAGTGAATTTGAAAAACTCATGAATTGAACTTAACTTTATTTTATTCAAACTTGCATTTGCTGTAATAACCCAAATTGAGGATCATTTCAAAATAGGTATTTCCAGTCAAAAATTGAAAACTGAACTACTATATCTTTTTTCTTTGTTGTTATTGGAATGCTGATTGATATCAGATGTATAATGTATTACTTTTTCTATTTTTTTTGTTTTTTGTTTGTATTTGTCTTATTTATTTTTGTTGCCAGTTCTCGTAGCTCCGATTTCAGCGTGATGACTTAGCATTCAATTTCTGCAAAAAAAAACTCATGTACGTATATGTTTTATCGTACCGAGAGTAAACAAACTGCTTTCAGAAATTACTAATATGTATGTAGGTATATATTCAGTTACATGCTAATTGCCTCATTATGGATACCTTAATGGTGACTGTGGATCAGTTTCTGATATGCCTTGCAGAAACATGTTTACGCATATAGAAAATGACCCGAAAATATTCATAAAGGCAAGATAACTGAAAAATTCAAAACTGGTCATAAATAACGACCTTGATGAATTCATTCTGGATTGTTTTTCGCCATGACTGATTGTTTGAAAATCGTTATCTTTCCAGTTGATTTCCATCAGTGGCGCGAAAATTTGTTTTTCCAATCTGTGGTATATAAATATCAGCGTAAGGAGCAACTTGTAATATTCAAATCACTGTTGAAGAAGCTACTATGTTAGCGAAACATGTCGTGATATATTTTTCAAATAAACTTTGTGGAGATTACACAAAGTGTTATCTCCATTTCAATGAAAAAGGCTTCCTTTGAGTATGCATTACAAGAACTGAATTGTAAATAAATTGAATTATTTCCGAACCAGATTTGTCGAACAAAACATGGCTGTTGAATGCTTGGAAGTTAACGAAAACGTTTCAAGTCGTTTAGCGAAATAACTGATAACAAACATTACCATTCAAACGTAATGGCAGAACGAAACCAGTAGCAATGGTGATTGGATGTTTGATAGTTATTTGTGTCACCTCACCAATTTTTGGGTCAGCGACTCTTATCTCTGTCATTCAGGTAAATACGTAACTTTTCTATGTACCCAATTTCCATTTTCCGATAAATGATTCAACTAATAAGTTTTTCTAGAATATATAGGTCTATGATTCATTTATAAACCATATTCAAGACTGAAATACTCATATATGATATCAAACAACATTTGAAAAAGATGTTTTTCTGCCTATTTATTAGTTTGGAGTTTTCCATATCCTGGATTCTTACAAATTTCCAGCTGTTTTTGAGGAGAAATCAAATTGCTATGGGTTTTCCCGATGAATATGTGTTCTAATATTTTCATATCCGGGTAATTTTTTGGCTGTTCACGCTTTCCTATCTTGAAAACGTTAAGGCCTATAAGGTCGAAAAAAAATCAGATTGGGAATATCAATGGTTGTTTTTGGAATATACGCCAAAAACTGAATTTGTCGAATTATTTATTTTTGGCCAACGTTTTCCTCAACACACAGTAAAGATGAAAATCTCAAAGTGAAAAACATTATCTCGATTTGGAGAAATCTAGCTCTCCTATTTTCATGAAGGAATATTTTTTTGAACTGAGAAACATAATCTCTCAAGTTGAATTTGTATCATTATTTCAATTTATATTTCTACACCTACCTGTAGGAATATAAATTACTAGCTATTGCCTGCTCTTATATTAACGTACAGCCGAAGTTACTAAACCTAGAATCTTGAAATATGCAGGTAGGTTCTTTGTGTAACGTAAATAATCATCAAGAGAAGAAATCAGGAATTTCCACCCCCAAGAAAAGTTTACTATTTTGGTGAACTAGAATAATCTCCTTTCAGATTGGGAATATCAATGGTTGTTTTTGGAATATTCGCCAAAAACTGAATTTGTCGAATTATTTATTTTTGGCCAACGTTTTCCTCAACACACAGTAAAGATGAAAATCTCAAAGTAAAAAACATTATCTCGATTTGGAGAAATCTAGCTCTCCTATTTTCATGAAGGAATATTTTTTTGAACTGAGGAACATATTCTCACAAGTTGAATTTGTATCATTATTTCAATTTATATTTCTACACCTACCTGCAGAAATATAAATTACTAGCTATTGCCTGTTCGATTGATGTGTGAGTGATGTTCGATGTAATTTACCTATTGCGATTGTTTCATTATAGGTATAACCTAAATGTTTTATTTATATTAACTATATGTAATTTTAATGTAATATCTGTATACAATTTGTCTAGTACTTTTTTTGTCCATACCGAAAGAAACTTTATGTTTTATATTTCATTCATTATAATCTATTATATATTAAAATGACATAGCCCACGCACAGGTTTATCCTTATGTGGGAACTATATTTATTCGTCGTTAACTGAGACTATCGTGTATTTCAAATTGAATGGCAAATAAATATTATTATTATATTTCGCTCAGATCTTTCAATATATCCTACATTTTATGATGAGATGAAAAATTTTGTAAAACAGGTGTTCCGGCATGGTCAAAGAACTCCAACAGAACACTATCCCAATGATCCTTATTCAGATCCTCTCAATTGGCCTGTGGCTCCTGGACAGTTGACGAATGTGAGTATTTCAACTGTACATATCAAATCAACAAAATGTTTCTGAATCTTGCTATCTTTGGTAATAGTTCGGAAAATTGTTGTTTTTCACAGATTCTTCTGTGAAATATGTGAATTTATTCAATTTTCAGTACAAGGATCAGTCAATATCAATTTGAACAATTTCAACAAATTAAAAAAACCCACAAAGGACACGCTGTGCGTAGGTATTAGTGTTTTATTCACAATATTCACGTTATGAATTTAATCAGAATAGTGAGAGTAAAAGGGATTTGACAATTCAGGTTATGAAAATGTAAAGATGTGAAAATCTCAAATTTTAAAAATTTTAAAATGTAAAAACATAATCATGTGAGAATATAGGAATATAATCATGTAAGAATGAAAAACGGTAATATGTAAAAATGAAAATACAAAAATTGTAAGAATGGTAAGTGTTGAAATGAAAATGCAAACATCTTGAGATTATAGAAATTGCAACATATGTTAGGTTATAAAATGTGGCATTATTCGGCATGATGGAAAGAATCTTATACAAATATTTGACAAATGAATTAATACTCCTTTTTGATTTATTTTTTCTTTTTTAATCAATTTTGGCAGCTGCTGTCACCAGATGCAGACTTATTCACATCAAAATTGGGAAGTTAGGCAATTCCGAAAAAGCTGTAGGGTTCGTGCCGGTCGCAAAACGGCCGGTCTTTTTGAAATCTGATCATTTGGTATACCTACTTATATTCTCTCACATTATGTGGCTCCAGAACTGGATTTTAATCTCAATTAAAATGCTTTTCACTCACTATTCTCTTCTCGATAGATTGACAAAAAGTCTCTCACTTGTTTTTGCTCTCTTAACTTCATCTTACTCTACGAGGATGGTATTTTTCTCAGTCCTAGAGAAATACAAAATACATTTGTAACAAATGCAATAAATTCATATGTACTGCAAATCTTGCGTAGAAATGGCAAACGTTGATAACCTGTAATTTTTCATGATTTTTATTATTTTTTTTTTATTTCCATTCTATGATGTTTTATTATCTATTCGAACCAGCAATTTGGTATGTATTCAATCGTTTTATGTGTAAAAGACTTCTTCGAGTAAATCTATATTTTTGTCCATTAAAAGAACCCATTGTTTTGGTAAAGACGGAATATAACGATTTATTGCTCGGTTTGATAAAGCGAAAATTATTATTTTTTTTGCAAAAAGAGATATTACAGTACAGAATTCTCAAAACAACTATGTTAAAATTCAAGAAAATGTTAATTTTAACAGAAAAATCATATTGGGGTCTCACACACCCCACGTGTCTACAAATGTTACAAAAGTCCACATGTCGGACGCAGGGTTAAATTTCGCACATCGCGCTTACAAAAAAAATAACTCCCCTCTCATCCCTCAGCCCCGAAGGCTGAGGGGGTCTCATCCCTTAGTCCCGAAGGCTGAGGGATGAGACCCCCGATCTCGTCTCGATGGGCTCCGGCGACCGACTTTTTGTGTCCCTCCCAAAAACTCTCAAGCCCTCGTGTCAGCATCTCTAGCCACAGAAACCTTACCTCAGCGTTTTTTAACTTTCCTAAGCGTATGATCTTCGGCAGGATGTAATATATATATTTGTTTAGTCTAGCCCAACTGGTACATGACCACAACGAAACTCAAAGGTACGACAGTCATGAAGTAGTTCAGCGCTTTCAACTGAAGTTTTCAAGTCCAAATATTTAGAAAACGGTTGCTTACGGCGACTAGTAACAAGGGTAGCTTATTTACGTAGATATGGTAGAGGTATCGATTTTTTTACTGAAAAATGTGCTAGAAGTACGCCCAAAAAAGTTATGAATCTTTAAAAAAAAAGACGTGTAGGTGGCAATAATACGAGTAAGAGCAATAAGAACATCAGGTTCGAATTCGACACCTCAAAAACCTCCTATAACCAAGTTTCGTTTAATTAAGTTCAGTATTTCAAAAGTTATTTGAAAAANACAATTTTGACCGCTAAACCACAATCAAACGATTTTTTTTCCAGGTAGGCAAAGAACAACTCTACAACCTCGGCAAATTCACAAGGGAGAGATACAAGGAAGCATTACCAGTTGCTTACTCCCCTGACTTCATCCACGCCGAAACCACAGAATTTGACAGAACGCACATGTCAGCTCAGTGCTATCTCCAGGGGCTATTTCCGCCAACAATAAAGGAATTATGGAATCCACGTATTTTCTGGAGTCCCATTCCCGTTCATCCCACAAAAGTGGTCACCACCTTTCAACCATGCGCTCAAAGAAGTAAAGAACACGACAGAGTGTTGAACGAGGAACCTTACTTCAAAAACATCGATGCGACCTATGCCAGTACTTACGAGTATCTCAGCGAACATGCTGGATTGAACCAGACCACATTATCTGACAGTTTTTTCATATATGATACCCTTTTCATTGAGAATGAATTTGGTTTCGTTGCACCTCCGTGGACCGAACGAATTTTTCCAGAACCCCTTAAGACTCTGGTGGAATATTATCTAGAAGTTGATGGTTTCAATGAGAAACTACAGCGTCTGAGTGAGTAATAATATTCTTATTCTCGATTCATGTCTCATGATAGTGACTTTTTGACTGTCAACAAAGTCTGATAATGGCAGATTTCAAAGATTATCAGATGCATGGAAGTAGTTTTTAGGAAATACTGTCCTCAAGAAAATCTCATTCACATTTATCATATTCTTGATTTTTTGTTTTATTGAATAGTTCTTTTCATCAGTACTTTGTATGAAGGCAGAGTCTTGTTTCAGATTTTCAATAGGTTTGTTCTGGTTCTAACATCACAAAACGTTTATAAACTGCGCAAGACATGGTGCGTACAAACAAAAAATCTCAAACAGTCCGAAACAGTCTCGGACACTTGTTTGAACCAGAACGCTTTTGAGGAGACCACTGTGCCACCTATCGTATATATGAAGAGATGAAGACGAGAAAATACTATTATTCATGTCCATTTTGTTATGTAGCGTATCCCTATAGGCAGTTCAAATGTTATCTACCCTCAATCATCAATTATTCAAATCAAATAAATGAAATTACATCCTAGCAAATAGCCCAAACAAACATTTCGCAGTCAAAACCAGAACAGAGGATTCATCAGTTTGAAATTATCATCAATAAACCAGAACGCTCAATATCAACTGCGCATGATCCTGACGTCCTAGAACCTGAATTGCGCAGAACCAGAACAAACCTAATATAATTCACATTGAGAAACCTTTTGAATTTCACCAGTTCGGACGTCCATTGTCTAGTATATAAAATGATTTCAAATCCCTGAAACGATTAAAAAAAAGAATTGAAAATAAATAGCTGTAAATAACAATTATATTAGGCAAAAAACCTGGAATGAAATAATAGTGAAATAAAAGGCAAATAAAATTGAACAGTTGAACAAAAATTAAAAATAAAGAAATACAAACTGANGACCTACTGATCAAACTTTGGCGCCATTATTTGTCATATCGTTCGTTCATCGCTCTTCAACTTTCTTTGAAATCTTTTCTCACAAATAGTCATCAATTTTTCTCAGATGGATAGTCCAATAAAGTCCTAGGGAATCGTTTCATCTTCATCCTCTTCCCATCACGCAGTGGAGAACGCAGAAATCCAAAATCTTGATGAATATCAGATAACAGAGAAGATCTGTTATAACCTGCGGTTTGATATGTTGGTAGCCAGGTAAACTCAGGCATCATTTCTCCTCAATTAGCTAGACGCCTCAGCAAATTCTATTTATTGATAAAACTCAAGTGGAACATTCTTTGGGATATTTCTTATACGAATTGACTCGACCATTTCCCTGTTTGGAAACCGAAACAGGATGTCCAACCTTGATCACTTGGAACAACGAAATGAGGTTGAAGAATTTTTTTCTCTGACTGAGATGCTAGATTCTTCCCATAGTGATTTGAGTCAAGGGTGTGCCAAAAAATACACCTGCTCATCGATCAGAGGTTCAAGTCCTCACCTGATTGCAGTCAATGCAAGACGGTATTTTGAATTAGCTGCTGAATTAGAAGCAGCCAATTCATAGAATATACTCATTAATTATTATACAAAATCTCTAGAATTCAGCATTACCATTAGATTGAAATGCACTGTGACTTGTGTTACTTAGCTCTTGGTTCATCCACTTCCATAGAAAATAATGTCGATGGAGAGATCCACTTCAGATATATCATTCCATAGAAACCAATTTGTCTAAGATAATATATTTCAACTTCACTTTCCAGGTGCTGGACCATTCCTCAACGAGGTAATAGAACACTTTGAAAAAATGGAGCAAGATCCCACAAGTGCAAAGTTCTTTCGTGTGTATAGCGCCCATGATATCACCATCGTAGAAATTCTTTCAGCTCTGGGGGCGTTCCAACCACACTTTCCCTATTTTGCCAGCACGATATACTTCGAATTGCGGAAAACTTCCGAAGAATCCTATGTCAATATTTATTACAAGCAGAAGGATACCATTCAGGAAATAACTCCGTCAGGATGTTCGAAGTTCAACTGTCCTATTTTTCTCTGACTGAGATGCTAGATTCTTCCCATAGTGATTTGAGTCAAGGGTGTGCCAAAAAATACACCTGCTCATCGATCAGAGGTTCAAGTCAACACTCTTTGAAGTACAGTTTTCAAAAAAAATCACTTTGTCTTCGTAGAGTTAACTCTTTGAGTCAATTTCTCCGATTGGATGAAATCCTCACCTGATTGCAGTCAATGCAAGACGGTATTTTGAATTAGCTGCTGAATTAGAAGCAGCCAATTCATAGGATATACTCATTAATTATCATACAAAATCTCTAGAACTCAACATTATCATTAGATTGAAATGCACTCTGACTTGTGTTACTTAGCTCTTGGTTCATCCACTTCCATAGAAATTATTGTCGATGGAGAGATTCACTTCAGATATATCATTCCATAGAAACCAATTTGTCTAAGAATATATATTTCAACTTCACTTTCCAGGTGCTGGACCATTCCTCAACGAGGTAATAGAACACTTTGAAAAAATGGAGCAAGATCCCACAAGTGCAAAGTTCTTTCGTGTGTATAGCGCCCATGATATCACCATCGTAGAAATTCTTTCAGCTCTGGGGGCGTTCCAACCACACTTTCCCTATTTTGCCAGCACGATATNTCAGCCATTTCTCAAGCTGGATTCCTAGTGATACTACATACACTACATATCGAATTCTATTAATTTCATGAATCAATCCGATTTTCCGCCCTCAACTTTTTCCATTCCGGATCCATAACAAGTTTTCAACTTTCCGCCCAGTCACTCCACGTCAGATAAGAATGCGGTATCGATAAATCTCGCGTCAAACGAAAACTTCCCATCTGCATTTTTCGAGCAGATTCTTATGTAAAAATAACGAGCGAATTCCCAGAGTAGCCGTTCAATGATCTTTCATTACGAATTCGAGTTACTTTCGTGACATTTTACAACCATCAAATTACAATTAAATTTTCATCGATCGTTGGTCCGTTCGAATAGGATTACAATTACGGTTACTGTTCCATAGTACGGTCGTGAAAGTCATAGTTTTGATGAATTTGTCGTTGATTATATGATGATGTAGTCAGGGTACCACAGGGATCCGTGTTGGGTCCATTATTATTCTCTTTATGTACCGTTGGAAATTGTGCAGACATTATCACGCAGATATTATCAATTGAATGTTTAAAAATATTTCCATTGCTATAAATTGAGATCTGTCATACGGCTGGGAAGTTGAATCATTTCACTGCATCGTGAGTGGTAGCTGATGTGGTAAGTAAGGAATTGATAAACATTTGTTATTAACTTTTTATTCCCAGACTGTTACATAAGGACAGATTATAAAATTAATTTAAGACTAGTAGATAAAACAATATTGTGAAATTGATTTTATATAGCATATAATATTTCAATTATTAGATTTACCCAACTATTACATAACGACACATTCTTAAATTAATTTAAGACTAGTAGATAAGGCAATATTGTGAAATTAATTAAAGATACTCAAGACACAGGTACCTAGAACAAGTATGCATGGTATAAATAAGGGTAGCTTTGTAAGTAGGATTAGTTTGATCTTTCTCTTGAAGATGATCACTTAGTGATGGAAACACGTGTCGAGATTTTAAAATAACGTTTTGGTTTTCCAGTAATAATCATTACTATACCAAAGGTTCAAAACAGTTCATCACAAGTTCAATAATAATAATAAGATGCCTTTATTCATCATAATGATTTAAAAATGCATGTTTAACAAGAATGGGTTAAAAATCGGCTTTTAACAATGTACATTGTCAAATTTCAAATATCTATCGAATATTTTGAAAATTGATCAGCTTCGGACACTTGAATTATGGAATAGGTATTAGCCTGGGGAGCGGTAACAAATAATTATACCAAACAACTGGAAAAAATAATATTCAAGAAACCATACACTTACTTACCTCACTAATGACTTGTACCGCGAAACGAAGTTATTTGATCTTCGACAACTATATTTTCTATCAGCAGTAATGCGACAGCATACTCACAACAATACACTGATAGCCATGAATCATAACTACAGTACACGTCACAAAATCAATTAAATGAGCAGTAGATGTTTATTACGCTGATCATTCTTTCACTACAAAGAAACAATTTTTTCCGCAAATATAATGGTGTTCCTGATTGCAAAATTTTATGAGTTACAGTAATGAGGTGTGTTTCTCTCATTTGATTCATTTTCAACCAACCTGAGTCATTGAAAGAATCACTGATATGGTCATACTTCCGTATAACGTATCCGCTATATGAGGCCTCACACAGCTGATTAACATGTTTTATGAATCTTAGGTCAGTGCTCTCATTTACGAGTTCCTTTGGAACCAAACACCATCACTTGCGATTTTTTTGAATTGAGCTTCAAATAGTGTGCAAGAGATGCATCAAAGAGTAGTTCCAAGATTTTGTTTATGGCATCCTCAGCAATGATGACTTCGCTATAACAATCGCTATAACCAAATGAAAGAAGAATTAAGAATACTAGACATCAAATCAACTACCTGAACGTAAAATAAAATAAACGAAATCGACAATTCATGTGAAATTTAAATAGCTAGACGAATTTTGGCTATAATTTACGGAGTACTGTTCCAGACAGAAGGGTTTTCTTACAGTTCAGATTGCCTCGCAAACAATATACAGAGTGGTCCAACGAAAAGTATGCACCTTGCTTTTCTCCTTCTTTTTTGTAACTTAACGCAAAAATGCTCGGACAAGTCAATTTTGCTTTTGAGGGGGACACATTTTAGATGTATTTTTCTACCTGTGCCTTCAATCCCCTAGCGAGGGTGAGTAATAACCCAGAAATTTTGAACGGAAAGTGGGGTCGAGTGATATATCATTTGAAAGGGCACAAAATTATCTTCCCAATGATACCTAATTTGTTGCATTTCACTCAAACATGTAGGTATTATGAAGAAAAACAACTACAACCCAGTACTTTGAAATGTGTATTTGACTTAGTAGAATCAGCAAGTGCTGAAAATATGACCCATTTGCTCCCATACAATAATACAGATTTTGTTCAAATCTATTCCTAACATTCTTCTGTAATTCGTTGGCAAAGATCTTCTATGGACTCGGGCTGCGTAGCAAAACATTTATTTTTCAAGTGTCCAAATCTACCTGTGATATACAGGGTATGAAAAACCACTTGCCACATATTATAAATAAAAATTTGCAGAATCTTCCTTATTTTGAATGGATCACCCTGAATATTATTGATCCATAAGGAGCGNTCCGAGCATTTTTGCATTGAGTTACAGAAAAAGGAGAAAAGCAAGGTGCATACTTTTCGTTGGACCACTCGATATAATGAGAAGTAGAAAAATGAAATGTTACAGTATGATGCATGATGAATCATGAGTACGTTTTCTCAGGTATTCATTAGAAATCACACCGTAACCACTTGCCAATTTTTCAGGTAATGTATTTTACAATTTTTCACATCAATATCAAATGACTTATTCAAGGTAGATTTTTCCAACAGAAATTCACGTTACATATTAAAGTTGCATTTTAATGGCCCCTGAATGAAAGCTATATTGACTGCGCTATGAGAAATGGGAACCCTCAAAGTTAATTGGTATATTTGAATGTAATATAGTTTTTGTTCGGCAAATGGATTGGGCACATTTAGGATTGGGGGTTTTTCGGGGGTTATCGTTGAGAGAGGCGGATTGCGCTGAGTTATCGCCTCGAGAGAGAAAAGGGTTAAATGTCGGGAGAATAGTGGCTTGTTGGACCTCGAAGTCGATGTTGAACTTTTCTTCGTCGTTTGTCAGCGAAGAAAGAGAGGCACTGAAAAATGCTCCAATTTAACACGCCGAGTTATATATAACATCTCCGGAAAAGGATCGCTTTCAATCGACTTCTGTTACTTTATGGTTACCAGAGAGATTGGAACTGTTTATGGAAATAGTTACTATAACATTTATTTATTTACGGCAATGCCTATTTCTCACAAAATAACAACAAGTTCACACATATGAATTTTACAGTAATCTAAGCTAGGTTTGAGGAAGAATATATTAAATAATATGAAAAAAAATCGTAAAAATAAGTTGATGAATGACAATCTTTCTACAATATGTTTATAAGTTTCCAAAGAAGAATTAACAAACTCCAAATCTACATTGTATGTATTAGCAAGTCCCAAAATTCTACCTACAGATCCATTCCGGCCATAGGTGGTGCGACAAAGGGGTACTTTGGAGATTTTCGAATTTTTTGTTCTTCTTGGATTCACATTTAAAATCATAAGAGCGACAAGTCCCGGGGAATTGATGCTACCATTGATTATTTCATGAATTACTGTAAGATCTGATTCTAATCTTCTATGAGCCAGAGTATTCAAGTTAAGGATGTCAAATATACTTTTATAGTCATATTCACCAATATGATATCCCAGTTTATATGCAGAGTACCTTAAAAACTTATTATGAACGCTTTCAAACATATCAATATCCAAATGATATGAAGGGCACCAACTTGTGTAATGGTGTTGGATTATCGATCTAACAATTGAACAATATATGATTTTTATTGGAGTGACAAATGATTCAGTTGCAGATCTAAGAATGAAACCTAACATTTTTATTGCTTTAGAAGTAATATTTGCAATATGGGGTTTGGATGACATTTTCGGGTCGAGAGTGATTCCTAAATCTTTGATTGTGTTTGTTGTTTTCAGTTCTGATCGATTGATATATGGCCGGTTAATGGGATTTTCGTTTCGGAAAAAAGTAAATTTTTGACATTTGTCTAGATTCAATTGCAGTAGATTTATATCACACCACCGAACAAAGTTACATAAATCGTACTGTAATAAGTCTGTATCAGTTGAGTCATGAATAACTTCAAACATCTTCAGGTCATCAGCAAACAATAGAAATTCACTATAAAGAATAACATCTTTCAAGTCATTTACAAATCGGTTGAAAAGCAATGTCCCTGAATGAGAACCCCGTAGTACA